TTTCACCCTCTGTCTCCTTTTTTTTTTGTCAAAGAATCCTTTTTTAACTGTACTTTTAATTTTCCTGTGTTTTTCTTTTTTTATTTGCTCAATTTACTATTAATTTGCTTGATACGAGTATTGGCCTTTTTTGTTGCATAACAGCTAAAGTAATTCCCAGCAGTCAGATTTAACAGTTTAAATACATTATTAAGTTTAATAACACCTTTGTAAATACCCATTGTATTTAATGATAGCAGAACATACTTCTATCTCTAAAACAGTTCGTGACACAAAATGAGATATTGAGCACTTTTTCCAAAATTATTGGTTTAAAGCTTCATTTGGATTTTGGGTAAAACCATGTAAGCACTTTTATAGAAGATTTTTAGAGCCCAGTTCTTTAAAGATGCTTTCAATTTCTTTTTTTTTTAATAGCTAGAGGCAAATTTAAATATGCTTTGTAGGTTATACCTTCAATTTTATCTTGTACCTTCAAGTTTATCTCTTTATCATTTATACTAGCTATTTGTTGTTCCCGGCCAAAATCAATCTTGCGAAAACTCATTACAGCTCATACATTGACTTATTGAATGTGCTTCTTTTTTATCTCAGGAGGTGAGTAAAAATTATAACTACAATCACAAGATATATTCTAGTTTAAGTTTCTGTGAAAGTTCCAATTTTTTTATCTGTTCAAGACTGACAGTGACCTTGTCACCACAATCTAGGCATCTACCTAAAAGTTGACAAAAAAGATAACTTTGCAGTATTCTAAAGTGAACTATTATAAATAAGATAGAATCTCTTTTCGTCAACAGTTAGAAGTGAACCATATAAACTGATTTTTGATGATGAAACAGCTTTCTTTTTTCATTTATCAATTTGATTTATTGCAGTACATGTATATCTTTTAGATGTAAACTGTCTATTTCTATTTAATCTTATTTTATTTTTATTGTTATCCATATTTAATAACTCTATAAACGTATAAAGAATAAATGCATTTATTTGTATTACTGAGACAGATAAAAAATGCCATAAAACAAAGTGGACAATTTGAAAAATGTATTTTGCAGTTCAAAATAAAAGATTTGTGTCAAAAAATGAACGAGTAAAACAAAGCTGACACGGTTGCTAAGGTGTTGCTATGGAAAACATTATTTACCCTATACTATTAAAACGTAAATTTCTTTATAATAAAACGTTTAATTCATCTCAAATAATATATTTTCAGAATCTGCAATGTTTATTCTAGATAAAGAAGCAAAAAAAAAATATGAATTTTTTTTTAAAACATTTTTAATAGGATTAAGCCACCTTTAACGCATTAATATTTTTATTTTAAAAACTATAAAAAATCGTAGCCAAAATGTTATATATCCCGCAAAAAAACAACGCAAAACTGTTAAGGAGAAGTGGGACTTTTTTCTCTGTCCCGCTTCACCCCTATATGGGACAGATAAAATGAAACTAAAATTACAGCCACACAATTAAAGCTAAAATATATATTTAAGTATTAAATGTTGGATAATAAGTACATTTCCCTATAAAATAAACAAAAGGTGCAACAACTGTTGAAAAATAAATACATACAAGAGTTACTAGGCTGTCAGCAAAAATAATTTTTAGAGATACTTTCAAAAAAAGCGGTTTGTACCATGTATAATAAAAAGAGTAAAAGAAATATAGACGTTTACGTTAAATAATACTAATTAGGCGCCGCTCCTAAATACAATTAAAGGGGTGTCCCACTTCTACCCCGTTCCACTTCTTCCCACTCCCTCCTAACTATACTGACCATTTCTATACTTATCTATCCCGCACCGATTGTTTTCATACTTATATAATTACGGTAAAAAAAATAATTCATTTAAAAAAATTGCTTTAAAAGAAAAAAAAATTAACATGCAAACCTTTTCTGCATATGTAAAGCTTAGAAGAGATTTATACAATGGTTTTTTATTCATATAAAAGTGTCTTAGATAGCTTAATGTGAAAATTTTTATAAAAGATTTGTTCAATGGTATAGAGCGCTTTCATCAGTCTCGTTGTCCGGGGTTCAAAACCACCCCATTATATAATTTTCATTTTTTTCAATCTTTCTGTTTATATTTATATCATAAAAATAAATAAAAGCAAAAAAAAAAAATTCTTATTGTTAAAAGTTTATTTTAAAGTTTTCTGGTATTCTATTTATATTATACTCAATCGTTCCATATACCGCCTGCAAACTCATTTAATGTTAAAGACGTTTACACTTACAAAAATTTGTACGTAACGCTTTTCAAATGGAATTTTTACATTTTCGTAATTTTATTTGACATTTTGTTATTAGATAGGTGACATTTTGTTATTAGATAGGTGACATATTGTTATTAGATAGATACTATATAATAATATATCTGTAAATAAATTCTCTATACTTTTTTATAGAAACGTGGTGAAAGACTTTTTCTCTCAACACCTTGACTTTAACGGGTGTCAAAGGTTCTGTGTCAAACACGCGCAAGTGGGTACTTTTATTATTATTCAGGAATAATATAAAAGACTTCTAGGTATAGAAGACTTATAATAAAACTTCTAGGTATTTTATTGACCAGAATTTATCATGTAGTTCTTAAATAAATGCAATTACTACGAAAAAATTATCCCAATTCTCTATAGTTTTATTTTTCATCATTTTTTCTAGTATCTTAAAATATAAATTATAATACTATTTTACTTTATTAAAATCAGTCACGTCATTAAAAGCGATTTTAGATTCGTCAACAAGTAATATTGTTTAGTAAGATAAAATACCAATTTTAATATATACTTTATATAATTTATCATATACTATATACTTTATCTAATATATTTAATTAATATATAGAATATATTTTAATAGTTATTAGATAGATACTATATATTAATATATCTGTAAATAAATTCTCTATACTTTTTTATAGAAACGTGGTGAAAGACTTTTTCTCTCAACACCTTGACTTTAACGGGTGTCAAAGGTTCTGTGTCAAACACGCGCAAGTGGGTACTTTTATTATTATTCAGGAATAATATAAAAGACTTCTAGGTATAGAAGACTTATAATAAAACTTCTAGGTATTTTATTGACCAGAATTTATCATGTAGTTCTTAAATAAATGCAATTACTACGAAAAACTTCTTAAACATTGGTATACTCTATCCTTCAAAATTTTAAAAAATCCTTCAAAAATTATCCTTTACGTGCAGCTATCTATCATATGCCATTATTTCATGGGTAAGTACCCATATAATTAAATTAAGTTCTCTTTATAGACAGACGGCAGAATCTCGCTTCTATAATTATATTTTATAAAGAGAAGCCTAATCGTGCAAGTTCATCAACTAAACAGATGAATTCTTTAAACATTTACCAAATCAAGATATATCAAAAAGTATTGTTTATATTCAAACATAAAGTAGGAATTGTCCTACTTTATGTTTGAAAAAGTCGATTTATAAATTTTTTTTTAAACAAGTATAAATATTTAGCAATAAAGCAACTAGAAACTATATAGCATTCTTGAAAAAAAAATTATCCCAATTCTCTATAGTTTTATTTTTCATCTAGTATCTTAAAATCTAAATTATAAGACTATTTTACTTTATTATATTACTTTGTACATCAAATATATCTTTACGCAATTTTAATTATATTCAAAGTATTATTAAATATAATAAAAGCAGTATATGTTGTTAAAATTTGTAAAATTTGTAATTTTCTTTATTATTAAATATAATAAAAGCAGTATATGTTGTTAAAATTTGTAATTTTCTCGCTCGAAACAAAACTTTTTTTCTTTCCAAAAATTGGTATTGTGGTTTATCCTCCTCCGGCTAATTGCCATATAGAGGCCAACATTACCAAGGCCCGCAAAGACAGGTTTGGCTCCCCAAGGAGCGTCATAACCCGCTCCACGGACCAAGAGTAAAGTGAGTTTAGGAAGAATGAAGATATGTTAAAGTGAAAGACAGAAGTAGTCGTGTTAGAAAGATAGCATAAAGAAAGCGGACAGGATGACACTCGATGTTAGGAGGTGCAATAGGTTGAAATAGGTTTTTTTAATTTATTAACCTGAATTCAACTCATCTCACAAAAGTTTTACATCCATTTATATAATACATCTACCCACAAAATCAACATTACAAAAACCTAACTACAATTAAAATAATTAAAAACTATTAGTAAAAGAAACCACGTAATTGCCGTAAAATGTTCTAGACCTTTCTCCATTTTATTTACACCCTCCCCGGCCTTCTTTACTATATATATTGTTTAAATCCACTGAATAAAAAAGACCTTAATATCAATTCTCCCACCTCCTTACTAGATAGTCTGGATTCGCTCCTGATCTAGATCTAGTGATTCTAATTGTAATTATTAAAGTGGTAAAGCCAATATTCACATGAATTTTCCTTTAGAAAAACTCAATCGTTTAGTTTAGTTACAAGCACCGTAACACAAACACTATAATCTAAAATTTAAAAAGTTTAAACTTTTATTTTAGCTGTTCACAGTGAATTAATTAAATAAATTGAAATTATTTTGATATGATATAACTTACTTAGATAAAAAAAAAAGAAGTGTCTTCAGTTATACAATAAAACAAAACAACAAAACGTGATTGTTACTCATTACTTTACCCGGTTTCCGAGAAGCAGTTTTTTTTTCAGTGTTAACGAAAGAAACCGGTTGAATGAATTGAAAACTGAATTCAAGGTTTGATAGAATTCTATCAAACCTTTCTAGAAAAAGTTTCTAGAAACTTTGATTACCAATATTATTATTAATAATGGTGCTTTAAAAAAATAGCTGTAGTATGAATTATTGTAAATATTAGATATGATCTGATTCATACTAAAATTTTCAAAATTACAAAAACAAAAAAAAAACATTTTACTCGATTTCCGAGTGGTTTCTCCATGAAAAATTAACCAAAATACGGTTTTTAGCGATAGTAAGCAATTATGATAACTTTATAAATATTTTGCTGAGCTTTGCAAAACAACTTCATAAAAAGTCATTATAAGTGCGAAGTAGACAGATTCTGCTTAATTTAAAGCATAAAATGCTCTCACGTTTTTCTGTTTCTAAAGTTTGTCAAATTTCAGGCATTACAAGATATGTAGTCCGTTTTACAAACGGGAAAGACGCTGTAAACCATATACCTAAACGAAATCTTCAGACTCACACACAAACTGGATGGAGGTCTTGGGATGCCGTCAAAAAGCCTACTGGAATTACAGGTTATTTAATGTATTAGTATTTATGTATTAAAAATAAAAATTCTTTTCCATTTATGTTTAGATTTGTTTAAATTGTATAACTCCAGTTGTTTTTACAAGTGCATCAATGATATAAATTGTGTTGGTAATTAAAACCCAATACTTATCTGGTCTAGATGTTCAGAAAAGTTTATTAAATAGTCCGTGCAGGTACATAAACATTGCTATAACATCTTTTACAGATGACAAAATTATAATAATCTGCCATCATAATGAAAAGTTTTAGTTTGATAAATTTCATTCATCATACCAATATAATAAAATGTATTATATTTACATAAAATAAACTCACTAAATTTCAATGTATTGATGTTAGTTTACTGATCAGTTTGAGAACTTTAAATACCATAAGAAGAAAAAATTAGTGTTATTATCGACTTCAACTAAATTGAATAAAAGTCAACTGTTCAAAATTTTGAAATTTGTCACCTTAAAGTTAAAAATTTTAATTGAAAAATTGAATAATCAATATATTAACTATGGGCTTCATACTAATCAACTAAAATTTGATTTAGTTGAGTAAAAATCTTAAAATCTTTTTATTCAATTTAACTTTTTAATCTTAAGTTTTTGTTTGTTCATTCAAAAACAATAGTATGTACTGTTATAACTTTTACCTATTTTTTGTTTACTTTCTTAAAGTTTTATCTAATTCGTAGCATGTTATCATTGTTTATACCTAATTAAACTTTTGATTATGTATTTTTTTTTTTTTTACTTTTTTCTACTTGATGGCTATGATTTTCATAAATACTTTTATACAGAGTCGCTGCAAGCTTGTTTGGGACCTTAGGGCAATATAAAGTTGTGAAGATCCATAATCTAAATTTCTTTAATCTATACAATCACATTGTAAGTATGATTGTAATGACTTTTTTGATATATAGCAAGTATCAGGGATTATCTTTTTTGGATATTTCTGGAATTTCGTATATTTTTCTTGACTTTTGGTTTTTCCAGATATTTAAAACATTTTCCATAGATACAAGTTAAGGTACATAAAAAAAATTGAAACAACTCAGCTAAAAGCAAATATAAGTTACTTTATTATTTTTATTACAATTTATTTCAAGAAATTGATTTAATAATAATAAAGTTTATTTGCATTAAAATTAAATAAAAAAAGGTGAGACAGCTAATCACTAGATTACGTTTGCATAACACCACTAATATAAAAATAGACTGAGTTAATTACAATACAAATTAAAAGAGTACGCAATTGCGTTATAAATTGTAATTATTTAACTTTCTTTTGAACATTAATAAATAAGGAGAATCAACAATGTGAGCTGGTAAGGAATTCCATGATTTACAGTTCTTTCGCTAAAGAAGAATTTACAACAATCATCTGTATATATATTGCGTGATATAAGTTTTTTAACATGACATCTAGTATTGTTGTGAGATTTGGAAAAGGTAAAGAGATTGGAAAAAGGTGATCAAATGAGATTGTTTACAATTTTGTATACCATAACAAGATCAAGTTTACTCTACGGCATTCAAGAGAATCAAGATTTAGAAGAATTAGTCTCCATACGTAATCAGAATAAGAAATATGGCATCTTTTACAGGTAATTCTGCTGAAATATCTCTCAATATTTTTGATACAATGAATATCTTTTAGAAGATAATAGACTTGTAGGCTTTTACTAAGAGGATCACTACTAGTAAAAGTTTTAAAAAGTAGTTAAAGACGAGAGTAGGCTTTTTTAGCAATACAAGAAAAATGCTTAAAGAATTTTGTATCAGATAATACAGTTATACCAATATCATCAATACAATTAACAGTATTTATCACGGTGTTCACAGTTTATTATGGTGATCACAATTAAAAGTATATATCACGGTGTCGAGACAAAATGAGTATAAGGGAACAGGTAAAGAACACTTCCCAGAGCGTATATGGAAACATTTATTGAACGCTATATTTAGTTGTCAATAAGTTGTCCAATTGGAAAAGTTTTTTAAGTAATTTACTAGGTCTGCATTAATGTCTATGCTTTTATCTCTTTCTTAGTATAATTTGATATCAACTGCAAACAGCTTAATTCCACAGTCACTCAAGATTACATTGTTGATAAATATTAAAAATAAAGTGGGAGCCAATATAGTTCCTTGAGGTATTCCACTCTTGACAGATATGTAATTTGAGTAAAAGTTACTAATGCAAACACATTGAGATCGGTCAGTTAAAATGTTTGTAATCCAATATAGCAGTTTTTACCAGTGATATTTTTGTTCGGAAAATAATTTTAGTTTTAGTTTTTATTTAGTTTAGAGGCAAAGTTTTTAGTTCTAGTTCTTATTCAGTTCAGTAAATAAATTTAGTTCTAGTTTTTATTCAGTTCATCTTAAAATAATTTTAGTTTTAGTTTTTATTTAGTTCAATTTTCGTTTGTCGTATAAATTTTTTATCTCATCTAATTATAATTTAGTATAATTTATAAATAATATAGGCATATATAATTAAAAGAAGTAAGTCTTAGTTCTATAAACAAACAAAAAAATGAGAACTTAATTAAATGTAATACGCCTAGTCCCATGGCTAGAAGTTTAGAGCCCCGCCCACCGCCCTTAATAAAAAACACAACAACAACCTGTCCTTATTGCTCTAAAATTTCAATTATTAGGTATAAAAAAAACTCCTCAATTTTGGTAACAATAAAAACTAATGAATAGTTATTGTAAAGACTTTAATAATTACTCATATATTTTACAAATAAAGGGCCTAGTGATTATATAATTATCATCTAGACTAGATGAGAATTTAGTTTTAAGAAAACTCGCATTTCCAATGACGCTGACATTCGATTTCTCCGTCCATTTGTGAGCAAGCCACAGATTGAAAAAAGTCTTTCAACATATGCTTGAGTTGCAGGAGCTGCAATGAGGTCTTCAGCTAATGGTGCAATATGTGGGTAAACAGCACGTCTCATCTTCCAGAAATTTAAAGCATTTTGGCACATAGAGCTGTTCCTTATTTCAATAAAATATTTGAGTTCATTTTGTGCTTCATTACCTGGAATAAGCTTTATTTTTTCTACTCGCTGTTTTGCCGCTAAAAATTTCCATTTTGTTAATCCATTTATTTCTGGGGCAATCTCAACAGAAAGAGTAGATGCACTTGCTAAAGGTAAATCATGTTGCACCGATTTTTTAGCCTCTGACAAAATGTATTTCTTTGCACACTCTCTGATTTGTGTATGCTCATTACCTAAAAGAGCTATTGCACATGTGGGGTCAAGTAGACATGCGGCACATGGCAGTGGATTAAAATTAGGATCGTTTGGCTGCAAAAGAACGGCAAAACGACGGCGTAGATCTTCAAGCATTTTAACTGCTACATCTTTGGCATCTCCAAATTGCTCAAGGTGACATTCTAAATTAAGTATTGAAGGTATAACACTGGATGGTGAAAGTGCATCCGTCTGAAGAATATTAGTTTCATTGGCAAAAGGTTCTAAAAGATTGACAAAATCCTGAAGCATTATCCATTCGCTATTGGCAAGTGAATCAATGTTAAGGTCTCCAAGCACTTCGTTGATAGATGTCTTTACTTCCAAAAATCTCCGAACCATAAAGTAAGTGCTGTTCCATCTTGTAGAACAGTCGCTGATCGCAGTCTTACCACATTTGTTGATAATTTTTTCCAATGCAACAGAAGATTTGCGAACTTTTCCCACTAATCCACGTACCTTCAAAAGTAAGCCATGATATTTACCATCATATGCAAGTTTTACAACTAGCTGTATAACATGTGCAATGCATCCCAATCTTCTAAATGCTACGTTTTCTATTACATCAACTATCAAGTCAACATGTTCCCACTCTTCACTATTTGTCATATTCTCATCGTCTTCCAGATCTGTTATCTGCTCTTCATTAACCTCACTTTCTAATTCAATAAGTATATCACGTTCAGCTTGAGCTTTCGTTCTCGACAACTTTATTCCTTTGACCATGTTTGCTCCATTGTCCGAAATAACAAGCAATATTTTTTCTCTGGAAATATTGCAATATTTTAGGCATTTTTCAAAACAATTAGCAATTTGTTCACCTGTATGTGGATGTTTTACAAGATACAAATTAAGCAGAGCATGTATTGGTTTTTCGGATTTGAAGTGAAAAAAACAAACCAAAACTCCTAAAAAGTAAGACCTTTTTTAGTCCAGCCATCAAGGCATATAGTGAAGCGCCTGCCTTCAGATATGAAGTCACAAAGTTTTCTCGTTAAAACAGTAAATTCTTCATTAAGTAGGCTAGTAATTTTGGCAGAAGCAGGCAATGAAAATTTATAATCCAAGGTATTAACTAACTTTCTAAAACTCGCATTATCCACCAATGTCACTGGATTACATGTTGCAATTATCATTTGAATAAGAGAGTTTAGTCGAATTTTATGCTCGTGTGAATTAATAGGCCATGCGGTATTCCTACGATTAATGCATTGAATCAAGGTCTGGTTCTGATTTGAGGACGATTCTAAAAGAGTGGGTCCATTTTCATCCACTGCTTTTCTCTTTATCCCTGTTTGCTTTTTTTCACTTAATTTCTTTAATTCCGACTCTTCCAGCTCAACGTGTACAGACTTATGGTTTCTTGCTAAATGTAGCTAGAAAAAAATAAACATATTTATATAATTTTTTGTTTGTATATTTATATGTTTATTTATCTATCTGTTTATCAATTAATGTATAAATAAGTTCGTATACGTTATTGAATAATTACTCTAAAATGATAAAAATGAGTCGTTTGTTTCAAAATGAAAACATATCCTCTAACAGATAAACTAACTTTAAGATTTGTTGGGTTCTTTCCACACAACTTTGTATTGCATACTTTTTCACCATCAAGTAAAACTAAACATACTGATTTGTCAGATGGCGCATCGTATTTAAACCATTTCCATACTGAACTATTCCTCTTCCTACCAGCAAAAAGTTTACTCAAACTCATCGCGT